GAATTAATTTTTGCCCTAATTTTAGAGGTGGCCGAAATTTCTCTATAGAAAGAAGGAAAAAATTTTCTCCAAAAATTCCACATCGTGCATGCGTTGGTGTTTGTGAAAATTTGAGTGTTTATTGTAACCCGTTTTGTCTCATGTGTGCCCACACACACGTCTTTGTGGATTCTAGGAATTGACGTGGAAGACAATGGTTTTCTAAACACAAAGCTTTGGAGCAAGGATTGTTCGAGATTAAAGAACTCAAGTTATCAACCGAGTCGGCCTCCAGGTATTTTTTCTAATTGAGTTCTTAATAAATGAATTAATGAGATTAATTTATTCGTGCATAAATTAATATAATCTATAGAGTATCTCAAAGGTTTTGTGAAAATTTTTGTTATACACGATCCGTCTTTCCGCTACGCTTCCGCCGCCAAATTCGATTCAGCAACCAACATCAATAAGGATAGTGAGATTATACATGTTATGGCATTATAGTCTTGGTCATCCCAATTTCATATATCTCAGAAATTTGTATCCATCATTGTTTATCAATAAAAGTCTAAAGTTTTTCAATTGTGAAGTTTGCCAACTTGCTAAACACACTCGTAGTAGCTATCCTAACTCCTCATACAAACCTTCTCGCCCCTTTGCCTTAATTCATAGTGATGTATGGGGCCCCTCAAGAGTAAAAAATATCACTGGAACTAGGTGGTGTGTGTCTTTTATTGATGATCATACTCGCTTAACATGGGTATTCCTTATGAAAGAAAAGTCTAAAGTTGGACAAATTTTTCAGAATTTTAATTCTATGATACAAACACAATTTCAAACCAAGATTCAAATTCTTAAAAATGACAATGCCAAAGAATACTTTGAATCAATTCTTTGCACCTATCTCATGAGTCAAGGGATAGTCCACTTAAGTTCTTGTGTTGATACCCTTCAGCAAAATAGGGTTGCGGAGAGGAAGAACAAGCACCTATTAGAGGTGGCTCAGTCACTCATGTTCACCACTCACGTTCTAAAATATTTCTAGGGAGAAGCCATACTCACAGCCACATACCTTATTAATCAGATTCCCTCCAAAATCCTTTAGTTCCAAACTCCGTGCAATGTTGTCCTTCAAAATTTCCCACACACTAAATTCATCTCATCATTAGCTCCAAAGATATTTGGATGCTCTGCCTTTGTTCATATACACTCTCAACATCGTGGGAAATTAGACCCTAAATTCATAAAATGTGTCTTTCTCGGGTACTCCTCACATAAAAAAGGGTATAAGTGTTACTCTCCCACAACCAAAAGGTTCTACAACTCAATGGATGTAACCTTTTTTGAACACCAATCATTCTTTTCCAAACCTGTAATTCAAGGGGAGAACATGAGAGAATTCTAGCTTTGGGATCTTGAATTTCAGCCCCCTCCATCTCTGCCCATTCCCGGTCCTACTCCTCAAACAGATTCTACCAGTCAATCCGAGAGTCCACCAATTCTATCCCATATCCAAGACAGTCCCAGTCCAAACCGTTCTAGTCCACCTCTTTAACTTCAACAAAACAATGAAAAGAATAAAGAGGTAATTGTTTACTCCAGGAGGAAGAAGTCTGAAAAGGAGATAGAGCACACAATGCCTCTTACACTAGACCATGAAGCTGATCCGGATTTAATGCCTACACAAGTTCACTTGGGTAAGGATAATTTAGATATTACAATACCTACTATGGAGAATTTAGATGTTCCAATTGCCTTGAGGAAAGGTGTCAGAACGTGCACGGATCATCCTATTAGCCAATTTGTCTCATATGTGAAACTATCACCATCATACAAGGCCTTCGTGTCTACTCTTGATAGTATGCAGGTTCCCAACACTATTCAGGAGGCTCTCAAACCCATAGAATGGAGGAAGGCAGTTAATGATGAAATCCAAGCATTGGAGAAAAATAACACATGGGTGTTGACAGATCTTCCCTCAAATAAGAAGACCGTCAGATGTAAGTGGATTTTTACTATCAAACACAAGGCTGATGGTAGTATTGAGAGACTAAAAGCTTGACTAGTTGCTAAAGGGTTCACTCAGTCTGATGGAATAGATTATCAAGAAACTTTTGCTCCGGTGGCCAAACTAAACACTATCAGAGTCCTTCTTTCACTTGCAGCAAACAAGGACTGGCCTCTACATCAACTGGATGTAAAAAATGCATTTTTGAATGGTGACCTTGAAGAAGATGTGTACATGGAAATACCTCTAGGACTGGAAGCAACCGTGGAAAGCAGCAAAGTGTGCAAACTCAAGAAGTCTTTGTATGAACTCAAACAATCTCCTCGTGCATGGTTTGACAGGTTTGCAAAGTCAGTTGTGAGAAATGGATTCACTCAATGTCAGGCAGATCATACATTGCTCGTGAAATTCTCCTCAGAAAACAAAGTGGCAGTCTTAATTGTATGTGTCGATGACATCATTCTGACAGGTGATTATGAGGAGGAATTAGTGAGAGTGAAAGCAGTTCTGGCCAAGGAATTTGAAATCAAAGATCTTGGCAATCTCAGTTATTTTCTCAGAATGGAGGTAGCTCGATCCAAGCAAGGAATCTTTGTCTCTCAAAGGAAGTATGTCCTGGATCTGCTAAAGGAAACAGGAATGCTAGGGTGTAAGCCAGTCGACACACCGATGGATCCAACTAAGAAGATAACAACTATGATAGAGTCTGCACCAGTTGATAGAGGGAGATACCAAAGACTCATAGGATGGCTTATCTACCTCTCTCACACAAGATCAGACATCGGCTTTCCAGTGAGTGTAGTAAGTCAGTTCATGCACAATCCTACAGAAGAACACATGGAAGCTGTGTATAGGATCTTGAGGTACTTAAAAATGACACCACGAAAGGGTATACTATACAGGAAGACTGGAAACTAAGATATTAAGATCTACTCAGATGCAGACTGGGCAGGAGATGTAAAGGACAGAAGATCAACAACTGGTTATTGTGCCTATGTTTATGGGAATCTAGTCATATGGAGGAGCAAGAAACAACCAGTAGTCTCAAGGAGCAACGCAGAAGCTGAGTTTAGAGCATTGGCCCTTGGCATTTGTGAAGGAATGTGGATAAGGAGACTACTCAAGGAATTAGGGATAACAAGTGAGAAACAGATCAAGCTTTTCTGTGACAATCAAGCAACTATATGCATCGCCAAGAATCCGGTACACCATGACAGGACTAAGCACATTGAGATTGATCGTCATTTTATCTCAAAGAAGATTAACAACTCAATAATACAATTGATCTATACCCCTACACAATCTCAAGTGGCAGATATACTCATGAAAGCTCTTCCAAGAACAAGCTTCGAAGGATTGAGTCACAAGCTGTGTTTGTTCAACATCTACAACTCAGCTTGAGGGGGAGTGTTGAGATTTCCGAATCAATTAGGGAAGATTTCTAGGAATTATCCCTAATATCTTGTATATAACTTAGGAGGAGAATCCGGGATTCTACCGGATCTTTATTTTATCTTTCCAAGTTTAGTGGGTTTGTTTCCTTAGTTAGTTACAACCTAAGAATAGTCAAAGCTTTATTATTTGTATATATATGTGCACCGGCTGATTAAAGGAATAAGAATTGATATTCACTCTTCCTAGAAACCTTCAATTATTAGCTAATTATCCTAAAGTGAACAGAAGAAATATCTATTTGGCTGCACACAAGTAGAAAATTTGATGCAAAATATAGGATGGATTACAGCCGCATTACGTACTAGCGACTATCTCTGCTTTTGAGCCATTCGGGAATAGATCCGTTGAGCAAGTTAAGATACCTATTCAGTGAGCAACATAATAGCATATTGACATTTGAGGAAGCATATTAACTCAATGAAATATTTACATGTGAGTTTTGTATTACTTACAATGTGTCCAAACGCATTATATTTTCGAAATCTGGAATTTCTCCTTCCAGTTTGTTGAAGCTAAGATCTCTACAAAGTAAGAGCTCAGATGCTCAGATGTCATAGCATGAAATAAGGAGTCTAGCAAAATAATAAAGCTACCTACAGAAAATACGGTGTTTAGAAAGACTAGTAGTAGAAACTTGAGAAAAGTGAACAGAAGAATTACAAAACACTCAGACTCTCCAAAGTACGTATATTTTCCGGGATTCTTCCTCTTAGATTACAGCTCCTCAACATCCTGCAATTTCAAGCAAGCCCTTTTAGAACAAATCTTTTCAAGTTTTCTTGTGGATCGATTCATCTTTACTAGAAAGCTTATAAAACTTGAAAATGTCTCACAAGATCTCCATATTTGTCATGTTCGTCAAGTCCGGAAAATCTGAACTCTCACCGTTTAAGTCACTAATCCTTCTGCACAGAGTAACAACATGACGATTATAATGAATACAAGCCTTGTCAGCTGTTAAAGAATATTGAGATTTTATGGAATTATCTACTCAGAAAAGTAGATACTTGTAAGAAGACGACTTACAATTCAGTTAAATTGCTCAAAAGAGAAAGACTAGAAGGAATTGACCCTTCAAAACCGCTTGCTTGCATCTCTCTGTTAACAACAGTAGATATTTGACATTGATTTATATTGCTTTCGAAATTTAGAAACTAAAGATAATTTCAAACATACTAGAAACAAGCTCTTACAATTTCTGAAGTTGTTTCCAACCGCCAAAATCGGGCATCCTACCTGTGAAGTTGTTGCTACTGATCCTACTGCAATGGCCCCAAATGCATCAAGATCGAAAATTTATGAAGCAGAAGACTTTTCAGTCAAAATTATTAGTTAGAATAGTAGTGACACTTACAGTTCATTCAATTTACTGAGATTTGTGAGAGCCAGAGGAAACTGTCCGGTGAGATTGTAAGCACCAAGAATGCTGCAGTTTACACCATTTTGAACACTAAATAACTCTCAACTTATTAAATTTAATTTTGAAGCTAATCAAATGGTAAAATACTCAAGAAAAAGAAACATGAAATAGAAAATGGCAAACTGACAGTCGTTCCACGTTCACCAATTTTCCGAGCTCAGAGGGAACATTTCCATTAAACAAGTTGCTTTCCATTAAAATAAGTGAAAATGTTCTTAGAAAATATTTTTGAAGTTATTAATTTTTATGTAATTAATGAAAAGTACAAATTGGATATTATATGTCTCAAAAAATAGTCTCTAGATATTTAAAAAACGTTTCATTAAAAATAAAAGTACCGTTTTAATATAATTAAAAACACAATGTACTAGTGAAATATTTCACTATAACAGAAGATACTAAAATGATTTTATCCTTTTTTTATTGCAAACCTTCACGCTTTGGTTTACGTAGATTTTTTTTTTTTTTTTTTTTTGTCTCTTAGAGTACCCATCATGGATTTGGGACACCCATGGGATAACTCGACTACTCGTTTATTAAAATATGTAATTTATTATTTTAAATTTCAATGTATCATTCGTGGATACTCTGCACTAAAAAGTCTTCAAAAGTCTAAAAAGAAGAAAAAGTTATACAAATAGTAAAATTTCACTATGCATGTTGAAATATGGAAAAAAAATTATATTTTTTTTTTACAAATTACAAGAATCAATATCATTAAAATAATTGCTACGGACGTGTGTTGTAGTATAAACGTGAATATCATTAAAGATAATTATCATGTGATTTTTATAATTTTTAAAATATTTTCAACAAATAATTGTTATATTATTTCAACTCCACTCTTATAAATTTGCCAGTGAAATGGGAAGCAACCTTAGCTTCGCCAAGAAGGATCATGCAACTGTAATGAAATGCCTTTCGGTGGTGCTTTCCTTCTCTCTTTTTGGTTCGCTTTCTTCTCTTTTAATTTCTATAAAATTATAGTATCCTAATGTGACTGTCCATATAAAAATTCGACATGTTCTATTGATTTACTTTGGATTATTTTCACCAACGTCTTTTGATTATCTACTTATTTTACTATTGACATGGTCAATGAGATTTTGATGCATGAGCATACTTAAATTTGGGAGACGGCTTATGTGGCCTGGACTTTAAAGAAGTGACTGGGCCCGCCTGTTGAGTGCACCCACATATTTATGAGAGACTTGTCAAAGTAAGGGCCAAAACGAGTTGTTTTGGGGGTGGTTTTCCAAGTCTTGTTTTGGATGATGTTTAAGGTATTTGATTGCGTTATGGAGGAATGGTTGCGTCACTCTAACATCAATTGGTATTAGAGAAGGAGATCCTAAACTCAAGTCTCCATGAGTGCACCTTGAAGGGGAAATTTTCCAAGAAGGGGAAAATGATACAAGAGCATACTTGTAATGACTGAGAAAATCCCAGACCTTAAATAATACAATTTATGTATTTAAGCCAAGGATTTTCCTAAAAAATATTATGTTATATTGTGAATGAAGTATTTATGGAATTAATATATGTATTCTTAAATTCTGTAGCAGATTCCGTGTTAAGATCATGTTTTCGATCGAGTAAATTCGATCGATAAATTCTCGCCGTACTTTAAGGCAGAATAATTTTCAGTACAAGTATAGTTTGAGAATCTTAATTTCAAGAATCTCCAAACACAGCATGATGTTAGCAGCGTATAAAAAAACGCACTGACATTTTAAAAGAAGAGAAAATCCTTAATTGCCAGACAGCTAGGTTAAAGTCAGAAGATAAATACCCATAGAAGAAGGGTACAATGTGAACTCGGGAGTTGACACCGTCAGAAACAACGTCATTTCCGAAAATTAACGCAGGAAAGTTAAATTTAGAATTTGTTCAGTCTAGAATTAATTTCAAGACTATAAATAGTTCAAGATATTACGCGAATAAGAATTTAATGTGATATCCAAAGCTGTCAAGGATTTAACATTTAACTGTAAATAAGCAGTAGAAAAAGGAACCGTCAGAAATGGAAACGAATTCCTGTCAGCTAAGTTACTCTCTTATAGTCAGTATAATTTTTATCAGTTTCAAAGGGAAACTTAAGAAAGTGGACAAGAGTACAATGGGGTAGGTGAGATTTTTTCTCTCTCTCTTCCTCCACTTGGCCGGCCATGCATGAAAAAATAGAGCCAAACCTTTGGCTAGTGGAGTGTGCTAGAGGACTTTATGTTAAGGTGATGTGATGTTAGTGGTTGAAGGGGAATTAATGGCAAAGTTGCTTCTTCTTTTCTCCTTCCAAAACCGGCCAAGAAAGGGGGATTTGAACCAAAAATTTGGTTGAATGATGGAGTGGAATTGGTGTTAAAAAAAATAATTTCCAAGTGCCTATAAAAGGAACCAACATAGGATAAGCTTCATTTTTTTTCTCCTAGCTTTTTCCCCACTCAAAAATCCGGCCACCCTACAACATTTCCTCTCAAATATTTCCTCCACTCTTCCAATCTTGAGCCACTAGCAAACCATAGAAGAAGAAGAAAGAGATCAAAGGGTCTAGGAGGAGACTAGTCAAGCATTCCTCTAAGGGTAAGGAAACTCTAAACCCTCTCTTTTTATGTTTTAGTAAAGTTTGAAATGTAGAAATATTCCTCTTAAATTTTCTTATACTTTCTAGTTCCAAGCCATTAACAAATCTTAGAGGAGTTCAAAGGTTTTCAAGGGAGAGAGAGAGTTCATCAAGGGTAAGTTCTCAAACTCTTTTCCATTAATTTCTAACCAACCTTAAGCTTGGATTTATGGATGTAAATTTGTGGTTCTTAAGGAAGATGTGTTGTAATAAGGGTGTGTGAGTTTTATGTTAGTTTTGTGAGTTATGAGGTTAGTTTAATGTGGTATGAT